AAACCTTATTTTCAATAAGCAATCCTGAAAAATATTTGGGGGTGCTTAACTTTTTTCCAGGTGTATATATAAATATAATAGTACTGTCTTTTGACTGTACATGTAACTGCTTCGCAGGGTGTGGATGGAGATTCATTTGGTCCACGTGGAGATACAAAGAAATTTTGAGTTTTGTATTTGACGTTTATTGGTTTTATTGGTGTTTTTGCGTTATGCGTTGGTTTTTACAATTACAAATCAGGGAAGCAGCTTTTACTGTCTCCAAAATGTAAAAACTGTAAGTTTGTGTGTATCTCCCCATAGACTCTACAAACATTCATGACAAATTTGGTGAAAATCCATCAAAAGGGGGCGAAGAAGTGATAGAAAACGCCTATAAAAACCGCAAAACTGAATACTTGCATGTATCTCTGAATGGTCCCAACAAACCCTCATGCCTACTTTGTGAAGATCCACTAACAAGGGGCGAAGTGATAAAAAACGCCAATACAAACCGCAAAACACAAATCTGAGAATTTGTATATAGCTATCCATAGACACAATGAAACTCCATATCACATTTGGTGAATATCTATCCACACCCTGCGAAGTAGTTACATGGACATACAACAGACAGTACTGTTATATTTATATAGATTACTAGCTGGAGTACCCGTCCCCTGGACGGAAATTATGTAAATTCATGATTAATGAAAGGTTATCTTAGGACATGAAAAGTTGCTTCCCTTTTATGTAATTGTAAGAAACGCAAAAAACGCCCATAAACACAGCAAATCTGAAGATTTTATTTGTATTTCCCCATAGACTCAATAAACCTTCATGTCAAATTTGGTGAAGAACCATCAACAGGGGGCGAAGTAGAGGTAGAAAACGCCCATAAAAACCGAAAATCTGTATGTACCCCCGCACAGACCTAATGAACCTCCATCCACACCCTGCGAAGTAATTACATGGACATACAATAGACAGGCACTCCAGCTAGTATAGAATATAATATGGATAAATATCAGCCATCGCTGTTTTTGTTGTCATAACACATGAAATGTAGCTCCAAAGGTAGAAAGTTTGTATGTGATGTATTGAGGTTTGTTTTTTTCTATATCACTACAGAAAATTAAACTGAATATTAAAAGGTACTGCAAATGATCTTGGTTTCCATTCGTTTGGTAATAACTTAGTGCGTACATGTGGACCTATATATTCCTTTATGACCTTAATCCCAACTAGTTTGGAGTCGGACTGTAATTTTCTAAGCCAAGAATTTTTACACTTGAATGGATTGCGCACTCGGTAACCACATAGGATGTGCATAACCGGTCATGAGAGTTAAAACTCGTGACCCTCAGACTGCTAATCGAGCGCCCTAACCAACAGTTCATGCTATGTTCACATGGACTTATTTATATACTGTACCATAATGTTTTCTGTTTCATTTAATATGGTAGTGCAATAATTTTTACAACTTACTCTATGTTGGAATTGAAAATATAAATCAGTCCATTTACTAAACATTGAGGAAAGTGATCTGAAACAAACAAAAAAACTTTGCATCATTTCCTATTAATAAATTTTATTATTATTATAGGGTCACACTGGAAATATTTGTTTTTAGGGTCCAGTTGTGTTTTAACCCTCATTTTTTGTATCCATCTTACTCTAGGTAATTACTTATTTTTATCATAAGCAAGAGCCAAAATGTTTACTCTCTGCTAACATGTTCCTGCACATGTAACTATAGTGGAAAACAGGCAGCTTTCCTATTCACATGAGTTTACTCTCTGCTAACATGTTCCTGCACATGTAACTATAGTGGAAAATAGGCAGCTTTCCTATTCACACGAGTTTACTCTCTGCTAACATGTTCCTGCACATGTAACTATAGTGGAAAACAGGCAGCTTTTCTATTCACACGAGTTTTCTACACAGTTCAAACTGGTGATTATATAGATATCAACTTTGAATGTCTTTGCCTCTAGTTTGTTACCTTCACATAAAATTTTGAGAATGACAGTTCTTCACCTTCTGATCTATTGTAACCTAGACAATGGATCAAAGAAAAAAAGAATAGTATTCTGATAATGTACTTGTAATAAAAGCTCTAAAATTGAAAAATAATGAGTTGTAATAAAAACTTTATTAAATAATCTAACTGTTAGGAAATGTATGTGTGTTATGTTTCAAGGGGGGTGAATTTTACCATATACTCCATCATGTGTATTCGTTCCACATTTTTGAGCTGCAGGCCAGTTTTGCCAGGTCTTGTGATAAAACATGCCAGTCTTCAGAGGAAGAAAGCAATATGGACGTACTCCATAGTACATTTATTTACAAGTATCACATAGGTAAACAAACAAAATACCTTCATGGAGGTAATTACAACAAGTGTACATTGTAAACAGTACCATTCATTGATTTACAGTGTAGAGAAAACACAAACAACAAAATCAGCATAGTAGATTTAGCTTAATACACTAAATTTTCAACAACCACATCTATGCTTGCTGGTATATCTTTTTCGAGATTGGTTATTAATATGTCAATATATATTTTATGTATTAACAGTCACATATGCACATCTACAAACCTCAGTTTAGTTGAGTTTGTGGCTTTATAATTAACTCTGTTTTTCTTTTTTTACTCATTTATTTAAGAATATTTAACTATAATACAAAATATTATAACACAAATCCTGTCAGTACAAAGGGAGTTTTAATTACAAGATGCAAATGGTGAGGAAAGAAAAGAATCACTTTACATTACACAAATACTCGGTCTACACCTATATAACAAACTTCAGGTTTTCAGTAACAAGAGAGTAAGCACATTTTTGTTTAGTGTTTATAAGATACACATGGCTTATTATTGATGATAAATTACACAAATTGTTTGATTTCCTGCTTCATAACTTTAGATATACATATTTACATCACATTAAAGCATTTCCTGTATAAGCTTATAATACTTGTTACATTTCTATTGATTACTAAAGAATACATATCAATAGTATCTAAGTACAGTTTCATATATTGTGCTCAGGAGAGTTCGTTGTCAGTCAAAGGTATGTATATAGAATATACATCAGCAAAAACATTGAACTATTCTTTTATGTGGATGACTTACAATACTTTTAGAGAAGCCTAGATTTCTGAAATGTTAATCCATTTCTAACCCGTAGTCTTATTTCACCATGACAACTAGTTAGAAATAGACTGTTCCAGGTTCAAAGTAGTCCTGTTTTACTGTGAGTACATTCTGTCCATCGCATAGCTTCTGAGTATTCTCTCTTAATTTTGATCTGGTGAACAACTATTTTATTTGGATGACCATAAATGGATCGAATTTAGTACATCATTTCTCACCTATAGTCAATTTCACACTGCCATAATTATATTTTTTTCATTTCATCAACTCTTAACCTGTGATCTGTTTCACACTATAGTATTTATATTCCAGAAATCCAATGTACTCATTCTTACCTGAGCTTCTTTTAAATATACAATTATGCATTCTGTCCATTTGCTCAGGACAATGATTCTAATCTTTTGTTTATTCCATATTTTGATGAATATTTAAAGTCCAATGTATCAATTCTATACATATATTAATCAAGAATGCACTACAATACATTGGAATGGTATTAGAATTCAAACAAAACAAGTGACAATAAATTCTGAGGAGACAAAACATTTAACTGTACGGTAACTTTAAATTTATAGCTTGTTATCAAAATACTTAGGATAAATTCAGCAATAACTAGTTAACAACTGAAATTATTAGCATACAATGAATTAAACTACAGTCACTATTACTATTTAGAGACAGTTTCTTTCACAGAAGTATTCCCTGGTAAAGCACAAGTTTAAGACTGCAACACACATTACTACATGTTAAGGAGTGAATTGGAAAGACAATCATTTAGAGAGTAATGGGTTGTTGATGGTATGTTGAAAATAAATAACCTAAGTTTATACAGCAGGTACCAGTATTTTGTATGGTATTACAGAAAGTTGTTTAGTCATCTAAATTATAGTATGGTTCTTGTGAGAGATTACAAGGGACACATTCTGAATTGAATTTCTTTTTTTTTCATAAAAAACAAAACAAATAGCAGTGAAATTCTGAACCAAATCTTCCAATTCATGAGTTATGCTCTTAATAAATTGTTAATAATATTTGTTTGCCTAATTATAATCTGTAATGTTTAGTTGCTTTTGGTTTTGTTAAGCAGTCAAACATACATGTGTGATTATTCTGAAACGTCTATCAAGAACCCAAGTGTTATATTAACTTGGGTTTAAGAAGGTTATTTGGTTTGGTAACTTAATCTATAAATGCACAGGTCAAGTAGACTGTTTCTCTATCAAGCCTGGGAGGGGGGGGGGCTATTAATATTGCAAAAGAGCAAGTTGATAGTTTGTGCCCAGTGAATGACTGTCTAGGTAGGAGTAGCCAGCAAACTGACAAAACAGCACTGTTTAACATTGCTAGCAGGTGTGGAACAGATTAATTGCTGCAGAGCAGATCCATTTGATTATTGCTCTTCTACTCCTCACTTATGTCCTAAAGAGAACTATCATGATGACATCTGAAAAATCTTCTTTAGTTGGACGTTTTACTTGCTAGATTGAGTCAAAGTGATACTAAAAAATTACACATCTTGTTTGCTAAATTCTGAAGCTTAGACAAACGTCAATAAAGTCTGAAATCATTCAAGAAGTACTTTTTTTTTTTGTCTAAAACAGCAATCATATCTATAACTTTACAAAGTACAAACACACACACACACAAACAAAAGCACCTTTTTTTTTGCCTGAAATTTAGTAAAGACTGAGCAAGCCAACATTAACAAAATTTCAACACGAAACACTTTTCTTCAGATAAGGACTGAGGAAGGAATAAGATTTAACATGTACAAATACAAGTGACTTTCTAAAGACAGTCTTTAAAGCTAAAGTCCCTGTTTAATTTTTTTTTCATTAGTATCACAAACATTCCCATAGCCTTCTATAGGCACTGGAGTAGTAATAGTCTGCCTGTATTTAAATGCTCAAAAATAATTATTAATTAAAGTATTTACAAAATAGTTGTTTTATGATTTGATACAAGGTTAAAGGCACATTGACACAAAATCAATAAAGAAAGCTAAAGAAATCAGTCTTTAAGTATCAAAATTTTAAATAGTACATTACTTCAATAAAACAGGCATTTAACTTCAAACAAATGAACAAATAAAGCAGATTTCATATGCTGAACCTAATACTGACTAGATATGCTAACTCAATTTTGGCAAGTTCTTGTGAAGAACTACCTACTTATATAGAATATTGGCAACCCCTCAAAAAAACTAAAGTCTAAATCAGTTGCTGGCACTTTTCACTGAAATGAACAGACCTTGCCTTCCATTGTTTGAGTAACGATTTCTTATGGTTTCTTTCGAAACATCTGCTACTTTCAAGCTTTCTCCAATTCTGTCTTTTTTCTATATTAGGATTATCTATCTACCAGGATTGCTGTAGATTTCTCCCAGATGAGTAATCGCCCCTGTCTGCAAGATGGCATGACTGTTCTGGAACTAGTTCAGAAACGTATCTTGACTTCTCTCTTGGTAAAATGTTGTCCTTTCCAGAACTGTTGATGGGAAAGGAGGTGCCACTACTGTGATGACAGTTCTTGAGGTTCTGTTCAACAACACAAAGAATGCTTAATTGATTGGCTTCAAAACAGTATCAAGTTTTGTTCTTAATTTGTCAAGAAGATTCAATATATATTATTATTCTAACTTAGTGACATCTAGGTGCAGCATTAATTCAACATATGGATAATTACTTAGCACAGAATTCCAGCTTGCTTAGCATTAGTTATGAAAAAGGTTTTTTTTTGTTTTATAAAAAGTAAATTATCAAATAAAGATAATTACTATTTGTGTTTTAACACCTGCCACATGAGCTAGCCCAACATCTTTTAGTACTTAGTACTGAGCCTAGGGTGGTTAATAGGAGGGGTCATTCCAGATACTGGTGATTTAGGGTTGTTTTGATAGATTTTGATGAATGAATCTCAGTACAACTTTTAAAATGAAAAAAAAGTTAAATATTAATGAAAATATGACATCATGAAATCTATGTGGATTATACTATGGTGGTACCATATTGGGTATTATACCATCCTTTTTATATTTACTCCTCTTTGTAGAAATGGCATTTTTAATTTAATAATTTTGGGAAATCATCTTGTAATGCATCATGCATATGTTTCAACTTCAACACTGCATCTTTGGGCTTTACTGTGTCATTAGTTTCACAAAATATTGAAACTAATGATTTCTTATATATGATTCTGATCTCCCTTTAGGTTTTTTTAGGTTTTTGCTGTCAATGCAGTAATCAACATTGGGATATTTTTAAATAAATTCTTCCATCACCCGATCCATACTTTGGCTTAAACACTACACTTAAAGCACCACAAATCTTCTTTTAGTCTAATCAAAACAACCCAAACCTTCTTGGAATGACTCATTTTTTTATCCATATCAAAATGCCAAGCTAGCTCATGTGGCAGATGTTAACAAAACTAACACAAACAGTAAACATATTTCTAACAAAAGTCATAAGATGGCAAATGTAGGTCTTCTGGAACTGAAGGAAGCACAGAAGAAAGATCCTTCACTGCAGAAACTTTGAGACAGTACTCAAGAAAAAGTTGAGCACAAGACAAAAGGGAAAGGGACTAACAGAATAGAAGACCAGAAAAGAGTGCTGCTGGCTCTATCAAGACAGTTCAACTGGGGAAGTCAAACAGATCATAGTACCAGCAGAATACCAGACTCAAGTGATGAAGTTGGCTCACGAGTCGATTGTGGGAGAACACCTGGGAGCAAAGAAGACAGCAGACAAAATCACCAATAACCTCCATTGGCCAGGAGTCAAAGATGTGAGCAAATTCTGCAGGTCTTGTGACATCTGCTATAGCACAATACCTAGAGGGAGGGTAGCCAAGGTGCTACTGGATGAGATGCCTCTGATAGAGGATATGTTCAGCAGAGTAGCTGTGAATTTGATTTGACCACTAGTACATGCTAACAGTAGATGACTAAGTGACACATTACCCAGAAGTTATAGCATTGCCAAAGATAGAGATGGACAGAGTAGCAGAAGCCCTTCTGGAAGTGTTCTGCAGAGTAAGTTTTCCAAAATAAGTCTTGAGTGACAAAAGGACCTAGTTTACCATAGAACTCATCAGCACTAGGCAGCTCTTTACCACCCCATACAACCCCAGATATAATGGACTTTGTGAGAGAGTCAACAGGGTCTCAAGAGAGATCATGCAACTGAGACAAGTACCTGCAATCAGTATTATTTGCTTACCGAGAAGTTCCACAAGTAAGTACAGAATTTTCACCCTTCAGTTACTGTATGGAAGAACAATATGAGGTCTAATACAGATATTGAAAGAGGTGTGGACAGGAGAAGATGATTCAGAAGTGAGAAACACATCAGTACGTGTTAGACCTCAGAAACTGACTGGAGGAGACCTGTGAACTTGCTTGAGAAAGGTTGTATGCAGCTTAAGACAGTCAGAAGCACTTCTATGATAAGTAGGCCACAGATCAACATTTCAAGATCAGACAGAAGGTGTTGGTTCTGCTACCCACAGACAACAACAACAACTCAACCTGCAGGGGAAAGAACCTTTTGAAGTGCAGGAAGTGGTCAACAGAATGGACTATAAGGTGAAAGTGGATGGACAGACCAAGATTATCTTGCCAATCTTTTGAAGAGGTACTTCAAGAGGGAAGAAGACCTAACTAGTGCAGAATGTTTGAGTAGAATTTGGGCAAGAGCTGAAAACAGTCTTAGTATATAGTATATAAAAAAAACTTTGGAAATATTTTTTCTTGAAGAGGGGCCTTATTGTTAAATATACATGACTGTTTACATTTAAGTTTAATGCAAGAATTATGATTTAGATAGTGTATATAGTGCAAGTGTTAAATTTAGTTACTTTTTAGGAGATTGCAAGTTTGTTTATGTAACTGTTTACAAATCATGCGATGCGTTGTTTAGTTCACTGGTTATGAATTGGTGACTGTTATATTATTGCACCATGCTACTAGAACTTTCAGAGTTTTTCTCGTTGTATTAATTGAGTATTATTGCATCATAATATCTAGTAGTTTGTGGAACTTACTAGACCTCCGTAGGGGTATAAATATGCATTGAAGATGTAGTTTGATAGTGATATCTAGATTGTTTGCTTGTGAATTAGGCCATAAAGAGCATGTAGTAGCAATTTTTAAAGTGAAATCATCACAGATATTGTAATAACAGAGTAAAAAAGAATAATTTACCTTGTCAATTGTGTTCTAAAGTAATTGAACCAGCCTGTGTGAACTTTGATGAAAAAGAGACAATTATTTAAAGCTCTGGATACAACTGTGATAACCAACAGTGTAATGAAAATTTTTACATACATTTGACATGTTTAACATATTGATTTAAAACAAGTGGATTGTGTGCTGTTTGTTTATTGTTGAAATTTATCGCTAACAAGTCACAGACACCAACTGTAAAAAATCCAGTCCATACATAAAACCTGACATACTTGTCATAAGACATTATGTTAGAACTATTATATTTTTTGACACTAAATTCTTTACCTAGTCCCTTACAAATTTTTAAGAATTAAAAGAATAGTATAATTAATTATAATCATGCTTTGCCAGCTTGTAATAGGCATTCACACTATAGTAATTGTTGTTTAACAAATGGCTTATATAAACATTTCCAACAAATACTGCATTTGTTATATCCCAGCCAGTCTTGAATTACTATCATTATACACTCTTCTAATTCTTGAAAATCTCCAAGAGACTAGATTAATAATGTAGTGTTAAGAAATATAATAAGCCTAACATGATGTCTTATGACAAGTATAATTAAATATATAGACATTGTTTCATAATAATAATAATACAGAGCAAGTTTTGTATGTTTCTTCAGTACATTCATGTGTAATAATGTCAACTGAACTTTCAAGTCTTTCTTACTAAGTTTTGCTGCCCCTTGGTAAAGGTACGAAACCAAACTATTAAACCGTTCTGGGGGAATAGGAAAGTTTTTGTTTTATCTGAAGTTACAGATTGTAAAGTTTTTTTTAAGCAAAACCTATACTTGAGTCAAACATCTAAAAAACTGAGTTTAGTTCTATGTCTGACCTTTGGTTCGACTTCCTGTGTCAAAAAGTTCTTTAGGAACTGAGCGATTGTCTCTATAATCTGGAGGGGCATCAGTTAAGAAGTTTGAAGGCACAAGCCCATGTACACCATTGATCTCACCCATGAAAAAACCATCTTCATCCACTTCACCGTATACATTGATAATGTCCCCAGTGTTGAAGGCTAACTCCATCTAGAGGTAGAAAATAGTATAGAGGCATTATTAAATTTTTTCTTTTATTAAAAATTAATTAATTGATCTGACTTATAACTAAACTAAGTTTTCACACTAGGGAAATATTTGCTATCATAAAAGTATAGCTAGGTGATTCAGTCATTACATGTGTACTATATAGCATCTTGTCACTGTCATATCAAAATCACAGATGTGTCTTTCAATTAGAAATGATAAATTTGTCATATTATCAAAATCGTGTATCTTTCAGTGTGTAAAATTGTGTTTTTTGGATATACATGGTTTTGATGTCATTCATTAATATACTACTATAAAATATTACCATGTTAGTTGTGAACAGTTTAGGTATATTATATTATGTAGTATATTGAATGTCATTATTTTCTATTGAAGCTTATTATTATTATTATGAAGACTGTTTTGCATTGTTAGCTTAATATATGTATTTAGTATGTTAGCTAAACCTCATGAGATATTATTGAGATTATTGCTGAAAATATTGTTAATAGTGAGGGTATCCAATTGATGAAACACTGCATTCTAATCTTTATAAGTAGAAACATCAGAAAAGTAGATAGTTTACTCTGCTCAGAAGTTAATATTATTTAATATATATTCAAAGATTTAATCAAAATATGTACATCTTGAAATGAAGAACAATGCTCCCTAGGCTTTTGCCTAAATGGTAACAGATGTGTTCTCTAGATATTGGCTTACACATCTTTTAACTGACCTGATAACAAGAGATACAATACTTTTGGAATATACCTCTAAGTCCACATTTGGAGACAGTTCTTGAGGATCATAATCATAAAGTGCCACCATCTTGCGTAAGGGCATGCCACTGACAGAGTCACTGTCTCTATTACCTAATACACAGAGGAAAGAGAATGAGTAATAAACAACAATGATAAAGGCTAACTACCATCTGCTTTTATAAATGCTAGTAATTGATCTAGGTTATTCTTTAATCAAAACTAAATTTCTAACAGCCACATTTGTTTAACATTTTATGTATTTTTTTTTAACCATTAACTAAAAAAAAGTAGTTCATTTGGTAAGTAAAGGGAGTATTAATTTTTTTCCCATCAAAGGCTGAAGACCATTAAGAATAAGTTTAATAACAAAATAAGGCCATTTAAGTCCCGTTAGAATTTATGTAAGTTCTGTTTGTTTCAGATATTTGAACAAAGCTGCACAAGGACTACCTACACTTGCCTAATTTTGATCTGATATACTCTTGGGTTTTGATCATCTATGGTCCCAAAGTGCACAGTTAAATTTTCCAACAATGGGAGGTGAACCATGAACCCTCACTGATAATTACTAAGAATGTTCTGATATAATGTTCTTTAAATGAAAGATCTACAACTATACTATAATTTTCGTTTTGAGAAAAAGCTTCAATTTTTTGTATTTCGTTGTTAAAATGTCATTTTTTAAATGGGTTATATTCTTTCATTACTGAAAGGATTTAAATATTTTACGTTATGCTATGTAAAACAAAAAACTGGTTCTCAGTATCCAGGTTGCTATTCAACTGTGTACCAATGTTGCCCAAGAAAGAAAAATGTTAGGAATAAATAAACCTCACACCTCAAAATTGGAGGGCATTCTCAGTGACTTATGAATATATTACATTACCCAACACTCAACTTTCATGTATTGCTGACTTGACCTTTAAGTATTTCTTTTGATTTACCTTTTTTATATTAACATAAACCATTCTAATTTTTTTTTAACAAACTGTATGCATCAAAGGTACATCATTGCTCCAAAGGTCAGACTTCAGTTATGAGCAAAAACGTTAGGAACCATTGCTCTAAACAATACTACTCTCATCATTATGCAGTGGAAGAAGATGAAGAAAAACAAATTCAACAGAAACAAACCCCTGACAATCAATTAATTTTATATGGTCTTACCACTTTGTAGCAAAAATAGCTGAAATTTTGCTTTCTTTAAGGTTTTTCTAGTAATAGAACCAGTATGATTACTATAAATATATATAATAATTTACTACATTCCAGCAAATCAATGATTTTAACTGGACTTTCAGTTACCTAGAGAAGGATGCTGTCCAGAAAATGCATTTTCATTCAGAAGCTGTTCCTCCTCCATTTGAACCTCGGAAACCATGTTACATGGGACAAATCCTACTCTACCATTGATTTCTCCTTTGTAATACCCATCTGGGTCTTTATCTCCATAAATCTGTGAATGAAGAGCTATGTTAAGTGACAAAGAATTGTTTTTAATCTCCAAAACAATAGATATGCATACACTTGTCTCTCTCTCTCTCTCTAAC